GTGATTCAGATGTACCTATTTTGCAATTCTTAAATTTAAAAATCAGTTTTATAAAAATTACAAAATGCAACATGTTACGCAGTCTGCCTTGCCCCTCTAATAATATTTAGTAAATGTACATATTCACTCTGCAAAATAAAACTTTGAATCCTGTATAACTTGACCATTCAGCTTGAGATCATGTTCAGAGTTTTTTTACACAAATTGAAGAGTGAAATATTCTCATTTGTATGTAACTAAAATTGAAATTGATTTTTTATTTGGAAAAGATTTCTGATATTAATAAATCGGGGTTCGTATGGTCCTTAAAACTCCTTAATTTTGGCCAAAATCAGCAGAAGGTTCTTAATTTTAATCATCTGAAATTTCTGTCTGTTTTTACAACTGCCACTTTGAGTGTGAATTAGTATTTTGGAGGAATATTTTTGTCAATTCACTGACATATATGGTTATCTTTTGAATGGGTTCATAGGTCCTAATATCCTTTCTATTTCTAATATAAATGATGGGATACTTAAGTTTCTAAGCAAGAAGTGTAACATAAGCAACTTTTTGCTTTTGGGAATGTGAATTCTTTTATTAAACAGTTCTAAATTTGACAACTTATCAACATTTTGGCGATTTTAAGATCAGTTTCTATAGAAATTTTTTAATTCCAAGGTCTGAGAATTTTACAATTTTTTTTAAACATCGTAACATTGATAAATTTCATTAAAATAATGATGATATATTGAAATTATATTAAAAAAGAACATTAAAATGAAAGATTATTTTTAGCTGTCATATTATAAAGTTTCATTTTGGTAACTTATACAATATTTTGAATCTGAAAAACAAACAAGGTTTAATGTTATGAAGCACAATTTACGAAACAAAAGCAAAATTAGCTATGCAATTAATTAAAAATGTCTTTTTAATTTTTTCATTGTAAGAGTTTTTCCCATGTTCAGAATATTCATCAGTTTTCTCTATAACATTAATTTTACACTTTTCCCCTCCTTTTTTTTCTAAAATATTTGACTTTTTGCTGTTACAGAATTGATAAGGATAATTTTTCTTTAGTATTTTAAACATTGCAGCAAGGAAAGCTTAGAAAGATCTGAAGGCAAGATTTATAGACCCACGATTCTAGAAGATTCGAGAAATATGTGACAAAATGAAAAATGTCTACATGGTATATCAACAAGTAATCGATGTTTTTTACAAAAAGTTTGCGATGAATTTCTTACTTTTTGGAGAACGTCTGGAAGAACAATGAAAACATAATATTTGAATGTTGTACTTCTGATACTAGAATCTTTTTCTTAACATGTTTATCTTCCCTTTATTTTCTCTACTTTTCACTAGACACAAGCATGGAAGATATCAAAAATGCTTCTAATCTTATCACATGGGCAGGTATTACAGAAAGAGATTTTTTGTTAATAAAGAAATTGAAAACATACATTTTAAAGGTTCATGTAATATGTCTTAATGCATCATACACAGAGCTGGCACTAGGCATTTCCCCACCTGATGCAATCTCTGTGGCTCTAAATTCTAAAAGTTTTGCTATTTCTAGATTTTGTTTTACAATGTGTCACTAAATTCTAAAAATTCTGCCATACCAGCTCTGTAACCAGCCTTTACTATATATATTTCATATTTCTTCTTAATGCTCATATTACTAAAAAAATAAAATTAGACACTTTTTCTATACATTCTAAATGCATTTAATATTTTTTTAGAATAATAGAAATCCTTAATTAAATTCTAAAATGAAAAGGAAACATGCTGAAGAAAGAAACTGAATACATAAAGAAAATTATTCTTCAAAGATATGTGCAGTTATTATTATGTAAATTACTCAATTGTTTATGATTTCAGCCATTACTATAATTTTCCATTTCTATTTCCTTATATGATAAGTTATTGAGCCAGATTAAATTGAAATTTACTTGTATAATCTTTGACCACTAGTCTACATTTTTAGTTTGAATTTAACTGTTCTTATTTAATTAGGTCACTGTGAACTATAATTGATTTTGTTAACATCAGAATATGCCTTTATGTTCTAAGTTCTTTTTAAAGAAGAGGCTTATTTAAACATTTGTCTGATATTCTGAAGTTACTTTCAGACATAGCGATAATTTGCTTGGCATCTGTTGAGGGTTTGGGACTATTTAACTTTTCCCAGATCAAATAAACCCTCATAGGTACATTGTGGAGAGGTTGACAAGTTAGGAGATAAAGCATGTGGAAAATAGTAAGAGCATTGGTTTGCATGTTGACACAAATCTCTAATTGTTAGGAAAGATGCTTAAAGAGAAGGAAATCGATTATAAACTAGCCAAAATGTTTGGGAAGCCTTCAAATTAAAATGACGGAGTTTGTTTTGTTGAGTGTTGTTGTTACAAAACATAAATGTTTTGTAGCTTTTAATGTGTCCTAATATCGTTTAAGAATCAATGTCATAAATTACAAGTATTTTAAACTGTGAAATTTTATTAGATTTTTTATTTTAATAGGGTTTTTTTAACAAATATTGTTAAAAAATAAAATTTAATAGTGGCCATGTAAATCCACAATGACTAAGGTTATGTAATTACCTAATTTAATTATTTATAACTGCTTACCCTTAAAATTATCTCTACATATTAAAATGAGTTATTACCCTTTATTAATACTCACTATGGTCACAAGATAAAACACAAAAATGTAAAAATTCAAGTAAAACTTATTCTTTACATCTAGTGAGACTTAAAATAATGCCAAAACAACTTATCACCTCTAGTGCTTTAATGGCTTAATGGAAACTTAAAGTATATTAACTGGGTTGCAATCCTTGGAACTAACTCTACATGAAGCTATGACACTAATTGCATCAAACAGAGCCTGACTAACTTTCAGCACTTGCCAACCATGCCTACATCAGGCCTTTCAGATTTGTTCTTATCAGCAGGGCTCTCTCTATACAAGCAGCAGCAGTAACAACATTCAGTCTTTTAGTTATGAATTATTCTGATAATGATCTTACTTCTCATTTTAACCTATGCCATTTGACATAAAATCTACCTCCTATTTACTAAACCTCTAGACTGACTAAGTATGTGACAAAATGACACATAAAAAAAATCAACATAAAGCTAACTCTTAATAAAACATAAATGTCACTTATCTTCTTTCAAATATGTACAACTATTATAAGTGTAAAATATTTAATGTTACTTGATAAATGACATAAATTTTATTCTCAAACTTATTAATAATTATGTTATATCATGTTTATTAATAATGCATACTACTTAGGGATCTATTTTATTTTAGGATGGTATTACAAAAGTGAAATTCAGGCACAGATAATATTTTTAATTGAATTTATTCAGTTCCCATTACTCATAGGTCCTTAATTTTTTTCATTAATGGTCCTTAAAAAGTACTTAATTTCCATGTGCAGAAATGTGTACGAACCATGTAAATGAAGTGTTGAATATTACTCGCTATGCAGATTGTTAAGGAAAATATTGTTCTCTGTAAACTTTCTCAAAAAGATCTTATTCATGTAATCTTATGGAAGTTTTGTTCTACAAAGCATTGATAGGTTTTAGAATTCGCAAATAGGGAACTTCTATTATTTGCATCATTTAAAATTATTATTTGCTAACTATTATTTGCATCATTTAAAAGAGAAAATGATCTTCATTTTAATGAACTTTTTGTATGATTATTAGTTTAGAATTCTGTAATAAAACTGTATGAGATTATTAATAACATATTTTTAGCATATGGAAACTTATAAATTACTTAGGTGAAAATTCTTTTATTATACTTTTATGTAACAAAATTATAAATTACAAAATGTTAAATTTCTGTAAATCTCGGGGCTATCACTGAATGATATTAATGGAAAATAGTCAATCTCAAATTGTGCTAGTTTCTTTCTGACAAACTCCTCAATGCAAGGTGAAAAAGGGAGCAAAAATACTGAATTTTTAAATTACATGGCTTGATCAGTTTTTGTTTTGTGGGAATCAATGCTTTATTTTTTACATTAAATATAAATTTTTACTAAATATAGGCACCACAGGACCCTATAAAGAGATTTTGTAATGTACAAAATTTTAAAATTTAAAGATGTAAAAATATGAATATTTGCATAAACATTTTATAACTTGTAATTAAAACGTTTTGTAATTTGAAATACATGTGTGCAATGAAGCGTTTTGAAGGCTGTTTAGTGACTTTATGTACACATTATAAAATTTATGCCATTCAATTTTTTTTTAAGGAGCTAAATATGTGCAACTATCAATGCTCTTTATCAAGATAAACTAAGAAATAATATTATCTTTGTGGTTTCATCTTGATTATGGTTGTATATTTCTGTGAAATCATAAATGAATATCCTGATACAGTTGCAATATTTATATTCTGTAGTCATTTCTGTTTAAGTATTATTAACAGTGTGTAGTTATATTAGAAATGCTTCATTTAACTAGATCTTTATGGCACAATTGTTTGCAAATGTTTATTTATTGCATTTCTTATACATGAGCAAATTATAAATAATCTCAATTAAATATTAGAAGAAATTTTTTGAGAAAAAGTTTATTCCATACTTTTCAAAATTAGATAAAAAAAAAAAAAGCACAAGGAGACTTATTCTTTTGAAAGTATGTAGTTTTTGTAAGTAGCACAAGTCAAAGGTGTGCAGATGTAAAAGAAATTAGATTTTAGAAGTAATGTTACTACACAGAGAAACTTTGCATTTTAACTCCAGATCCAAATTTTATGGGTTATTATATATTTAGCGGGTTGGTACATATACTTTTGCTGATAGTAGAACAGTATTAATTATATTTCAGGAGTAACCAAGTGAGTATTTTTTAGGAGAATTAAGTGTTGATATGGCAGCTATGATCATATTTAGTGAAAACAAGGCATAATGATGGAAATCCCGTGAAAATATTTAGTTGGCAAATATTTTTACCTCATAAGTTATGCTACTTTTTTTTTTCCAGCTTTTGGAGGCATCAAGTGGAAATCAAATGTGCTTCTCACATCAATTCTGTGTCCTGGGTATGTGTTTTTTTAAATTAAATAATGCAAGGCTTTAAATACAGTAATGGAACATATTTAATCTTAATTTTGCTTACAGGGCTGAAATGAATTTTAAGTATGTTTTGATTTTTGTATGTATTATTTTAGATGTGTATTTATCCTCTTCTTTGTAATGAATTTGATGTTCTGGGCGAAAGGGAGCAGTGCAGCTACACCATTCACTACTCTTTTGGCACTTCTATCCTTATGGTTTGGAATATCTCTTCCTCTTACCTTTGTTGGTGCTTATTTTGGATTTAAGAAGAGGGTGAGTACATAATATACTCTTGATTGACCACTCATCTATGAGAAATGTTTCTTTTATTGGCATCTTTTCTGAAAGGCCTATATGATAATCTTAAACTTTTTTAAACGATTTTTATTGGTCCAAATAATAAGCAAAAATGAGCAAACTTTTGTTTTGTAGTTATTTCCTAATTTTGGTCAAATATTGAATATTAGAAGTGAGATTTAGAGTACAAAGTCTGGATGTCCAATATCTGGAATGTGATCTTATCTCTACGCTAAAAAAAATAAAGTAATATATACCCTCTGGCTTACAGAATCTAGAAATGGTTAATATAATACTCAATAAAAAGCAGGTGTGCCATAAATAAGATGTTTTTCCGAACTGAGACTCCTATGTGTTATTGTCAAATACCTATGTCCTGGTTAAGGAGTCACACCATGGCCATTAACAATACTTTGATTGGCGTTCACCAGATCACACCTTCAGGCCTTGAGTGGTTGTGGGGGTGACATTTATCTATCTGACCTAAATGATAAGTGAAATTCAACTGTTGCCATATCTACATGTCATACTAGATTTAAACTGATGATTTAAAATATGGAAATTTCTGAAATCGCTGAAGTCTGAATGATTCCAGATCTCAGATTTTATGCTGTATATAGAACTTTCCTATTTATAGTATTCAAACAATTTCAATAAAATTCTGTGCTGTATTATGAGAAACTATGGCAAAGCATGGACCAGTATTTAATGAACCGAAATATACAGCTGCTTTATCCTAACACGATATACTTGATTCCTTTTGCATGTAATATTTCAACTTAAATTCTGTAGGCAAAAGTCTTCAATATTGTTTGTATTATTTAATGTTCAAAACAGAGGAACAGTCTATCCTATTTTGACAGAGTGCTACAAGCAGTAGAATTCCCTTCTTCCATCCTTTTAAAAGTTAAGGCTTTCTAGGTATGTTAGGTATTGCTGGGCTTTGCTAAATGTTAAGCTTCCTTCCGAGATGGAATTCTAGGATTCAGCCATGGGATTCAGGGGTGGTCTTCCACCCCTCTTTCCCCCACCAACCTCTTGAGAATTTTGACTCACTATGTATTTTGAGTGCACCATTTGCCACATAGATAGTAAATACTTACAAACATCCATGCCTTCTGTGGGATTTGAACCCAAGCCCTTTGATATGGCTGTCAGCATCACTAACCACTATGCCATCTGGTCATCACCGTCCTTTTAACAGGATATTTTGATTGACAAATTTGTAATGCCCTCGTTCCTCAAAGGTGTTACAATCACAAACATCTGTACCTTGTCCAAGATTTGAGCCTGGACTGATGACATTTGCATTCAACTTTCACAATGACCATATTGCCTTAGACAGTCATCTTAATCCTTTGAAATGCACAATATTTATTTATGTTTTTTAATATTGATTAATGCTAAATAATTAATGTTTTGTCTCTATAGATGAGTAATATTTTCTGAAAGAAGTTATTTTGTCCCCTTTAGAAGGGAAGGCATTCTCACGGTGCGAACAGCACACATTTAGGACATGGGAAATACTGCTAAGGCAGGGGAAAAACTTATTCATCACTGTGCTCATATTTCATAGATTATTCCAAATTGCATGAAATCTTGTATATTTCGGGAAAAAAAGTTCTACTAAAGCTATTTTATTACCAAAAAAAGTATTAAATATTTCCCCAAAATTGTTGTTAACCAATTGGTCTTCAGCAAATGGAAGAATCTTTATCGTATTCGTCCTCAGATGTCATAGCTTCTTAATCAGAGGGAATCTGTTCAAATAAAGTCAAAGCCTCAGATTTATCAAGTCCTTTGTATGTCATTTTCAAATTCAGAAAAAAAAAAAAAAACTCAATATATGTATAATTTATCTACAACATATAATTACTTTAAAAGTCCTGAACTACTATAATAAAATCTGAACAAAATTTTTTTGAAAACTATGTGAATGAAGATCCTAATGAATTGAAATGCATGCGACTGAGCAATGAGAAAATGAGAAGCTTCTCACAAACAAAGTTAGGCAAGAACACCATGTGCATGTGTTCACAATAAACATTACTAAAAGATGCATTTGCACCATATTGCTGTAGCATCTACACCATATTTTAAGATCCCTGCAGACAAAAGTAAAAGAAAACGAAAAATACAACCTCAGGAAAATGCCAGTAAATTTTTGTAAAATAGTTTGCCTTATAACCATAAACACTGGAGATCTTCAGATTTGCATTTGGTGATATCTGATATCTCCTTTTGATTCATAATCATATTAAATAATGTTTGTGATTTGGCACCAAAGCCTTCCTGAGATGATGATGTTAATGGCAAAGTATAATTTCTCACGAAATACCTTGTTAGGATTGCTACACTCATGCAAAATTCAGTGAATTTGTGCATTATGTCAAATTTCTGAAAAACTAATGGGCAGATTTTAATGAAAATTAGTTCGAATATACATTTATAACAGAGAAAAAGATGTGCCATTCAGAAGTCATTTTATGTACACATGATTATCAGTAAAACACATAGTCCACAGATCTTCCTAAATCTATGTTGTGATATCAAACTGGAAATGAGTCTAATATGGGTTTAGTCCCCTCACACTCAGACAGGTCATGTGGTGTGACAGTATACTACAGGAGGCAGTTGAGGAGTCTCTGTAGCACCCAATACTGTTCTTGCAATAAGATAGTTTTCAATTGTGGGATGGTTTTCAAACAGGGATGGCTGGCAGAAATTGCTCTCCCAGTTGTGTCGCAGACATGCTCTATAGAGTTGCTCTATAGGGTCACGAGATTTGGTTGAAAAATCCATTTGACAAATATCTTCGCATTCCAGGTAATCATTGACCAGTTGAGCTCTATGTGGAGGAGCATTGTCGTCCATTAACAGAAACCCTGGAACAAATGTGCCCTCAAAAGTTGGAAGTAGGACTGTAAGATCTCCTTTTTATACATCAGAGCAGTCAGAGAGCCTTTGCCAAAACTCAAGTAGGGATGTGTGGCTGTCCAACATAATGCTTGTTGAAACCATTGCATATCCAGTACCATAATGATTTTTTTCCCCTGATGAGAGAGTGATGGTGTGTTGTTCCATGCTCTCTCTAGATACAGGTATGTCAAGAATCAGCTTCGAGGCTGAATCTTGACTCATCTATAAAAACATCGGGCTCATCTAAAGTCTGGTCCAAGGTGCATGCTTTCTGCACCGTGCTTTCTTGTGGGAGTGAGTTGTGCAGTGAGTGGGATGCATATGCGCATGCATAAAGGTATTATGTGTATAGATCATTCCGGATTATGGACGTCCGATTAAAGACTTTTGAGTGTACTTTGATTGATTTCAAAGCGTACAAGGAAGTTGGCCAGTCAGATAGGTAGTTATTTGTGTGTACAGTAATAAAAATTAGAGAAAATATGTTTAGTTATATTTTTAAATCTTTTAAGTGCAGAAGAGTTGTTCACACAGAGAGTAATTAAATGGCACAATGAACTACTGAAATTTCAAAGCATTCAAGGATTTGATCTTAATACCTGTCAAAGCACTCTTGTCTGTGCTGCAGATCAGCATATCAGAAAGAAGTCATGCTAGTGTGCTTACTGTCACGCTGCCATGACTAAGGTGTGATGCTCTTGGGCTGGTGCGTGTTTGATATCTGTACACCAAAGGGACCATTACATTATGACCACCTTGTTAATAACATGTAGGACCACCTTTAGTCGTCAAAACTGCCAACACCCAGCGTGGCATTAGCAGACATAGTTTGGCATCCGGCTGCATAGGCTCATATGCAGCAATGTACATTGCACAGTGTATTGAGAAACATTGTCTGGGTCGCTACTGTTGTAGGTCTTCAGTCAGGGCGAACAATGTGTAGCAATCTCCACTCTCCTCTAGAATCAGTGCACCATCGATGCACTGCTGGCTGGTGTCTTGTCATTTCACCATCCATACACCATTTTCGATATGTGCTCACAACAACTGCATGTGAACAGCCCACTAAACATGCCGTTTCTGATATTGATGTTCCCAGTCACCGAGCAATAATGATTTGATCTTTATAGAAGTCTGATAAATCGGCTGCTTTTCCCATTATGTTGCTAACTGTACTAGTTTGGAAAAACAATGCATAGATACTTTATATACTCCAACATCAGCTGCGCATACACAGTGGTTTTGTTCCTGGGCGAGCCCATTGTTATAGATGGTGGGTGGTCATAATGTAATGTATATATCTTCGATGTGTATATGTTGTTTGATTTTATGGCAGTTCTTGACTTATCTGTGAAAAGTCACTGCATTATTACTGATTTCAAAGAACACGAATTTATGGTGCTTATGCTTTGAGTACTTTAGTAATTCCTTAATAAATTCCTTCATTTCCTTTGGTCGTGCTTATGCTTTAAGTCCTTTAGTCTTCACCTCATATAGTGCTGAAAGATAACATGATTTCTTACTACTCTGCTAGCTATTGCTTTGAGGGTTAGTGCATTCTCTTTGCTGTTATATTTGGCCGCTAATGCAATATACTGATCATTAAAGATTTTTTTTGGGGAGGGGGGGTATACTGATCATTAAAGAGTTTTTTGTTATATATATGTGTATATAATTGTACTATTTGTTTGGAATTATAGATGATAAATGTCAGAATTGTCCATAGATAAAAAATTCGCAACTTTGTGTCTTTTTGACAACTTTTCAGCTAATTCAGAAGTCAAACAACAAAAATCAGCGTTATATTTTCAAAATTTTTGCAGGACTATTTTCGATGGTTTTTACTGAACTACCATCCTCAGCTGCGAAACCACCTGAATTTTGTTGTTTGACTTCTGAATTAGTATTTATTCAGCGTGTTATTGTGTCTTAACTTTCCAGCTGTTCTGCCTAAAGTCTCACACCATAACAGTGAATATTTCTTTATTTTATCATACCTGTCAAACTGATGGGTAGTTTACAAATGTGATTTCATGTTTGTAAATAAAAATTATAACTGAACAAAAGCAGCATTTTTTATATTAAATTTATTTTTAACTAGGAAGTTTATGAAATCGGAATTTTAAAACAAGATATTTAATATCATAGCAGATTTTCTTGATAATCTGCCTGCAAAGAACTTTTTTTTTCTTTTTTTGTAAATATTTATTTTGTTTTGAATTTATACTCTCCACAAACATACTTTTTGCGTTTAAGACAAATAGAATTTGTTTTGATTTTGTTACACAATCCACTTTGATAAGATTTGGGAATGTTAGAAAATCCTTTTCAATATTTTGAGCTGTTTAATTCTTTGTATTGCAAAACAAAAATTGTTCTGTTATTGCCATATTCATGTGGATTGCTTATGTAATATACATGCATCAAGTGCTTCTAAACTCTAATATGACAGAAAACTTGTAAGAGCACTCAGAGATGCAGGTTTTAAGTGATATTTTTAAGCCCTGTGTTCAATGACATTCACTCCAGACTTAGTTTTACTGTAATATGATTTAGTTTCTGGTATATGATTATTAGAATTGGAAGTTTCTGCAAATATATAAATCAAAAGTAGTGCTTTTATGGGAGGCTTGCTTTTGTGCGTAGGTACAAGTAGAAGTGAGCAGGATACCAGAAATTCACCTCTGGCCTAACAGATGTAGTGCTACCAAAGTTTTGAGGGAGAGCACCCCAGGGGTCAGTACAAGGGTCTCCCATCCCTCTTCCCTTACCTCTTCAGCCTTTTTGATTTGCTATATATTTTGAGTGTCTCCTTGCTGCACTGACACTATATGCTTAAAATATCTGTGCCTTTTCCAGGATTCAAACCTAAACTCATTGGTATGGCAGTTAGCATCATTAACCGCAATACCATCTGGGTAGCCTACATTATCCTGTTTGTACATCTGAGTAAAAAATGCTGTATGTTATCTTCATATAGCATTTTTCACAATAAGAATAAAATATGATTTTAATGAAAAATGAAAATTAAAAAAAATCTGAATGGTTTCAGATTTAAAATTATGTCCAAAGGGGCATTTTTAACGTTTTGTGGATTACCTTTATTTATTAAATATTGTGTTCTTTGCACTTAAACCATAAAATTCAGTTCAAAAGCAATGTTGCAAAATAATTTTAAAATGAGCATATCCTTAGAATTTCTGATACACATTTCCACGTGCTGGAGATAAAAAAGTGTCCCCCCCCCCGCAGAGTGTTGCCATTGCTCGATTTTAAATCACTGAGTTTGTTACTCAAAAATTTGTTAAAGTTTTTCAAAATAAGAAATTGATAATAAAACAGATTCCAAATTTCAAATTTGGTCTTCCACATGCCCATAATCATAGGCGGATTGTCATTTAAAATTCGATGGCTCTATGTACCGTTATTTCATCACAATGCGAGAAATACACATACATTTATGCAGATGTCCAGGAACTAAGCCTCTTTGGACCTAAAAAAAAATTTTAGACATAATAACAAATGCTTGTATAAATGAATAAGAAGATTGATATGAATAAATGTTATTATCTAAAACTGATTTATGTCATTATTAAAGCATTTTCTTATGCATCTTAGTATATTTAAGTACATATTAAGCAGATGCTTAATAACGAAACTTTTAGAAAGTCAACTGCAAAAATATTAGTTATTCCATGTCATTAAGTCATATAAATTCCAAATAATGGTAATAATTTGAAAAGTCAAACTTACAGAGTTAGTACTTCTAGCGTTTAATATTTGGGTACATATTTTTGCTGTATATGGAGTTTGTACCTTTTTGTGCATGTGTTTTCTTTTCAGACTATAGAGCATCCTGTTCGTACAAACCAGATCCCTAGGCAGATACCTGAGCAATCTATCTACACCCAACCTATTCCGGGTATCATTATGGGTGGCATACTTCCATTTGGTTGCATTTTCATCCAGTTATTTTTTATTTTAAACAGCATTTGGTAAGCAAGAATATTTTTTGCATATCTTGTAAAATTACTTTTGTAGCTATGATTTGCCTCACATTATGTAATTTTTGTGAAAATATAGTCTGCACAATCTAGAAATATTAACATAATTTTAAGCATCATTTGGAATTTCCTGTATATCTGTATATGTATTTCTAGTACAATAATAGAATAGTAGCAAGTTTTTTTTATTAAAAAATAATTGAATAAATAGTCGATGGTCGGCGGTGACTAGGCAGCACAAGTCAAGCGTAGCAATATGTAATAGGACATATTGAAGTAAATATGAAATGTTAAAATACAAATCAAAACTAAAACAGAAGCAATGAGATAAAAATGTAAGGAAATTTTGAAATGTGATAAATTAAAAGAGAAGAATAAAATAAATTTTGGAAAGGTGAATGAAGAAAATGCTAATATTATGAAATTACAAGACAAGTTGCGATCTCTTACCCTGCTCAAGAGCTTTTATATCTGTGCAGAATTTCCAGAACAACTAATGTAAGTAGTTAAGGCAGCTACAAGACATTTGAAAAATAGGAATATAAAATGAATCAAATTACGATAAAAGTGCATAAAATAGAAAATTGAGGTAGTAAATTTTCATTGAAGTGCACATCACAAAAGCCTTAAACTTTTAAACATTTGGAATTAGAAAACTAATTAAACATATTCAAAGAATATGTAACAGATAATTAACATCAAAAGAGAATCAATCATAACTAATGTACAGATCTTAATATTGTACCATATATAATCTGTAATGTTTAGATTTTTAAATAAATGTAATCAACCTGTAATCAGAAGAAATTTGTCGAATTAATTTATTGCAGTAGAAGAATCAATTTTCTTTATTTGAAATTTATTTTGCAAATTTGATTTCTTTATAATAATTATCAAAGCAGTGAGTAAGGACAGTTATTGAGAAGGTCATAACATTTGCTTTGATATGTAATCAAAAGTTCTTTATTTTATAAAGAAATTGTATCAGATTAGGAGCAAAATGTTCTGGAGTAAAAATTAGAATGATGTAGTAAAAGCAGTATTTTCGTATATGGTGAATTGGGTTTATTTTACTGTCTCTGCCTTTGAAAAAAGCTGCACATTTTTAATGGAAAATGTTTTAGCAGTGGAAGAAGAGTAGAAAATTATCAAGAGTTCTTTTAGAAATTTGAAAGGCAAAGGAAATATTTGATCAATAACTGGAGAAATATCTAAACATTAATGCTGAGTGAAATGTGAAAATTTTACTTGTTCATTATTTGTGTAGTTAAAAATTTTTATGTAAACAAAATTTTAGAGTACTGCATGAGAAAACATAAGACATACTGGAGCAAAAGTGGGAAAGTTTTAATAGTTCCAAGTAATTGCATTTCACACGCTTATAGAAAAGTATCTGTTTACAATCAAACTGCGATTTTGGTGTTCCTTGTACTACACAATTTTTATAGCTATATATCAAGGCATTATTTGAAATGTTAAAAACGTTTTACCATATGGAACTTTTAAGAATGTTAATGTAAATGGAACACCAATATCAGAATGAGGATGATAATACCAGTATAAGAAATAAGAGTATAAGTGATAGCTTCTGGATTGCATTTATTCATAGCATCCCCTCTAGAAACTACTACCTGAATGTGGGATTTGCCTTTGACATCAAGATAGAAGTGGTTAAATACTTGAAACATGTATAACTTAAAACTTATTCAGTATTTAACAATTCGTAATGGCCTTACAAATGCAAGGGCTAGTAACTGAAGAAAATTTAAGAATAGTCCAGCTTCCTAGAAATGAAAACACACCTTATATATATATATGAGGGACTTGGTTCAGAGTTCAAAATGGTACTGAAGTAGGTCTGCAACAAGATGTGATGGAAATAGTTCGTACTCAGTGGGGTTATTTGCTGTTTGATGATTTGATAAAATGTATTTAAATAGTCTGTAGTATATTCAAATGTAATTGCAGTGAGTATAAATTTAAACATTAATTTAGTATAAAAATCAAAGGTATGTAACCAAACTAAAGAATGCTCCTGAAAGCATACTTCTTTTGCTGTACAAGATTGACCTAATTTCCTCATACCTCACTTGTATAATACAGTACAAAATCCAGAATCTGGATGTCCGGTATCTGGAATGATCTCTGAATCACCAGCAATTTTTAAAAAAATATTTTCAAATTTCTTTGTGCAAAGGGAGAAATAATTAAATTTTGAGAAAAGCATCTCACTTTAGCATATGCTTAATGCAGGGGTTCCCAAAGTGTGCTGTGAAGTAAGGCGAGGGGTGCTGCGAGGCACCCCTAGCTTTGCATTACGGCGAGATGAGACGCATTGAATGCTCAGCCATATTTTTCATTATTTATGTATTCATTATGTTTCATTAATTTCTTAATTTATTTCTTGAAATAGTTTATTAAGTTTTTCTCAGTACTTATGTTTCAATTGTTCATTAAATATCATTTATATATTTTTCACATTTATTTCTCCTTTTACTCTAAAGTAATCTTGCTCTCAGTTTCATTTCTTAAAAGTGCCATTTTATTCTATCACTTAGTTCTTTCCATTTGCAAATAATTCTGTGTTATTGCATCAGATTTGTGTTAAATTATTTTCATACAATTTTTGCCCTTGGCACTTCCTTTTACAAGATTGCTATATTAGTCTTCTCAGCATTGGCATCTGTTGACATTTCTTTTTTCTCTGCCGGTGACCTTTAGTATCGAACTCGTAAGCATGCGACGGTCGTACAACCTTGCACATGTTGTGTAGCAAATTTAATAAAATTAAATAAATCACAGAAATCAAAATTTTAATTTGTAAATATTCAAATTTTAGCTACACAACAAGTTTGGATATATTCATTTATTTGGCTTATTAATTCTATTGCAATCTATTTGGGTTATTTGGTTTTATGCGAACAGCGTCTTCAAACTTGTACACTCAGACAATGGATATAGGTGAATTTTTCATGTAATAAACTAAATTTTTCATGATAAAATTAAGTTAAACTCTTAGTATTTAATATCAATAGTTGCAGAAAATTAGCTCTTTAATTTGATATAACTTTTGTTTTCCTAACTTCAATTGCATTTTAGTTATGAGCTTTTTAATTAATAGGTTTTTACCGTTGTCATTGTGATTTCTATTCTGGGGGAAGAAATCTCCCTCTTTCCGGTAGAAATGGTCATTTTTTCGAGTTTTCAGTGCAGTGCACTTTCTTTGGGACTGCTTACAGGGTTATTGAAATTCCACGTTTCTCCCCCCTTTGCTAGGCGTGGCTGGTTGGCGACTGGTTGGAGACTTGGAAAATCCGTTGGGGTTTTCAAAGTGGTTGTTTTGGCGAGATTGTTATGCATGAAGGTTGGAATGCTGAGGTTGCAACTGATTTCATTTTTGGCGGGGCGTGAGCGTTGCCAAGTTGGTATTCCCTCGCATTCCTTTTTAACGGGCGGTTTTGAGGGACAAGGTCACCTTTTTTGGACTTTTGACCTGACATCAGAGGCTGCCGCGGAGTAAGCCGATTTTTTCGGAAGGATGAATTTTCCAACAGTTGGATCTACGGGCTTCTTGCCCCTGAGCTTTGAACGATGGCCATAGCTTCAGCAACATGTCTTCGACGGATTTATTTTCTCTTCGGTGTTTTTTGAATCTTTAACGTTTAATTTATACTAAAAAAAAAAAAAAAAACCATATATATAAATAGAGAGAAAAGGGGCCTCTTAAAATTTGTGCCATAAAATATGTTATATATATATATATATATCAGTTTCTAGACGTCATCTGTTACAATGGTATGCTACTACGCCACTATGTAATTAATGTTCACAATGCAAGAAAATTTCGCTGTCCTCTCCGGGGTCGCCCCTGCAAAGCAGATGCTAACTAAATTCAGTAAAAGAGGTTTTGTCTTCTCTCTGAGTTTCTACTTTCCGTGAGGTTGATTCTCATCGATTCCGCTAAGCCGTCTTCCCTCAGTCATCTAATAATTCTTCTCTATGTTGGAACGTAAGGACTTGTCACTTCTAAAGTGTGGATTCGAGTTTAACTAAAGACAATAGTTCATTTAATAATTCTTCTCTATGTGGGACATAAGGACTTGTAACATCAATAGTGTGGATTCGAGTTCAACTAAAGACAATAGTTCAAATAATAATACTTCTCCATATGAATGTTTTCACTTCTTCCATCTCGCCGACCAGACATCCTTCTTCCAGATAAGTTATTTTTTTGTTTTTCTTCCGTCGATAGTCTGTTGTTAAAGAATTACTGCAGTTAATAGGGATAAAATTAACTTAATTAGTTTGAATTAAAATTTTGTAGTTGAGTAAATTAACTTAATTCTAATGAAATAATTTTTGCTTGTCGATAAAGTAATTTATTAGATTGGCTAAGTAAATATATTCTTAATTAAATTATTTAATTGAAACAGTGAGTGTAACTTAGATTGGTTAAGGAAATATATTCTTCATTAAATTATTTAATTGAACCAGTGAATTTTTTTCATAGTTAAGATTGTTATGTAAGGTGCCATTAATTGAGCTTCTTTGCTTTGCTTAGGGACTAAATTGTTTGTAAGATGTAAAAGCCTGATTTCAATTAATATTTTACCTGGTTAAATTATTTTTTTTTTAAAACAGTAGATTACAATGTGCAATAACCTTAATTCCATTGGATTCTGTACACAGTTCATTTATTGATTATGGTGTGTGATTTTTTTTTTTGGAAGTGTAAATTGTTAATTATTCTTTTTTTTCTCCCCAGGGAGGGTATTGTTAATTTATCCAAAAGTTTTATCTGATTATGCTAACCTGAATGTTAATTGAAAATAATAGTTTGATATTATAGAGTCTTAAGGAAAAATGTAATATTATTTAGGTAGGGGTATTACATTTTGTAGAAATCAATATATTACAGTTCTGCTTGAATATAAAATTGCATACAAATTTAATTAATTAATTAACTGTTTAGGAATTTAATACATAGGCTTACTT